TAACGTACCAAATTGTAACTAGTTAGATAGAACGGCCTCTGGCCAAAGTCCTACATAGCCAACGGCTGATACAGGACTATAATGGAATAATAATACTAAATCTACGAAGGACCCTATATATACCAGCGGTATAATCATGTGCTTTTACAGCACGACATATGCATGTGAGCAGAAGGGATATCATTGCGAGTAACTATGAGTCGATGATGTGTCACTTCCCTGAGTCTCGTCTTACATTTGCCGAATTCTTCTGGATGGCCCCATTCCGCGTCCGCGATACGCCCGGGATAGTCAGGGTAATTCTTCAATTGCAAAATCTCAGAATACTAGGGACAATAGATGTTTTGCAGCCATCCAGAGCTGCTGGCAGCAGTGCGCAAGATTGAATTGCACGTATGAAATGAAGGATGAGGGGAGAGATCTCACCATTAGGTAACACATTCCGGTCCTGCATACGCATTGATCGGATGTGTGATATCACAATACACGTCATACACTATCTGGAATACATGCACAATCTTCTTCTATGCACCTTTGCTCCTTGATCTTAATTAATTCGTAAAGTTCAACGTTGTTAGAGGATGATCACGACAAATGATTTCAGATCATGTTTCTATTCGGAGGAGAAGCTCAAAGCGAGATGATGTTGGGATGAGCAGGAATGAGTGATTATGAGCTAGTGCTGAGCTCCTACGTGCTCTTGAGCCTTGAACAGGGATGGCACCTTCGCTGACTACAACCTCACACGTCTCTTCCTTGCTCTTACAGATTTTAGATGTCTACTCAATCATCTGTACAAGGAGTTCTGATCTTCCTTCTCTCATATAGTCATGCTCACGAACTCTACAACTTTGTAGTTCATATGAGAAAGGCAGCATTGGGTTAGTTATTTGATCATCGATGCTCTTTGTTTCCTCTTAGCTCGGCTTGTGTAGAAAGCAATTTGTCTTCATGTGCCTAGACTGTTAATCTTAATGCGAACCTTACGATCGAGGCCCTTCGGTAGTTGATGCGCATTTTTTTTTTTTTTTT